GAGAGAAATCATACCAGCTTGCCAGTGACTTTGGATGGGAGGAGAGTGATCACAAAAGGGCCATAAGAGGGAATGTTTTGGGACAATATCCTATATATCCAGTGTTCTATATCTTGATTATGGTGGTAGATGCACCTACCTCTGTTAAGACTCAAAGAACCATAAAGGTTAAATTTTACTGCACATGAATTATACCTCAGTTAAAAAAAATGAATGTGAAAAAAAAATGTGTAATAGGAAGAGGCTGAACTTTTGGATCAAATGGACATAAGTTGGTTCACAGACAGCTTCTCTCTTTTACTAGCTGTGTGACCCAAGTCAAGTTACCAAGTTCTCTGTATCTCTGTATTCTCACAGGCATAATAGGGAATAATATCTACCACATGGAGATGCTATAATAGATAAATAAGAAAAAAATATATATATACATATATATTTCATTAAGGGTTATGCTGTCCAACACCATAGCCACTAGCCCCATAGGGCTCCTGAACACTTGAAATGTGGCCAGGACTGAGAAACTGACTTTTAGTTTTATTTAATTTTAACCAATTTCAATATAAATTTAAAACTGATACTGGATTCAGTTACTGGCAAACTTCTAAATATGCTTGGAATAACCGGGGTATGTGAATCTACCTTTTCTACTGTAAATTTTATGAAATGTAAATGCTGATGAAGTATTTATACTGAAAATTTAACATATGAATTGAGATGCTTGGGAAGTGTAAAATGCACCCAGGATATTGTAGACTTGGTATGACAAAAATATAAAATATTTCGTTAGCATATACTTAAACATATACTTAAATGATAGTACTTTAGATTTTTAGTTAAATAACATATAATTAATTTCACCTGTTTCTTTTTTACTTCTTTTTTTCTTGATTGTAAAATGCCTGTGTAGCTTGTGTTACATATTCATTCAACAAGGGCATTTAAGGAATTATTTGGTATACCATTGTTATTCTGTAAAGATTTACAAGTTGGAAAATACCGAAGAAAATGCAGCAGCTCAAATCATGTTTCCATAATACAATTGAGACTGTTGGAAATAATATTTGTTACCAGATTTATCAGTGGAGAACAACTAAGAAGAAATGTAGTTTAAATTTAGAGATATGAAAAAACAACAACAGAACTCTACATGAAAAGAATGTCATAAGAGTAATGGTGAATACACATAATGAACTACATTCACTGTCAACATCAACCTTGGATGGAATGGGCTCTGTTATCTTAAAGAAGAGATTCTTATTTGGCCTTCAAGAATTATTTTCTCCCCTGACTGTATAATTACAGCCATGACAATACTGCACTCTGAGGCAGGGAGTGGACAAGAGTCCCTCATTAGCAGTAAACTGCTCCAACAGACCAGGAAATGAACAATATTTCCCTTTAGATTTTATGGAGTTGGATGAGGTTGATCCCCATTGGTCTCTAAGGTCTCTTAGTGCCAAAGACTAGAAGGTAAATTTCTCAAATAAATTCTTAATAAATTCTCAAATAAATTTCTTTGTTCCCCTTCCAATGTCAAGAAGAGGTTCACATAGAAGACAGAATGATACACCAGTAGCTTCAAGTGGCCATGGTAAGCTCAAGCCAATTCACATCTGTGTTAACTATAAGCATCTCAGACAAGGAAAAACAGATGTGATACCCTGTTACACTAGAATATAAATCTTTGAATTAACTTGGCACAGGGACTAAATCATGCATATATTTATTTGCTAGATGTAAAGAGAAAACAGATATAGTAGCCTGGAGAATAAATGTCAAGCTCTTTAGTCAAGCTCTTTCCTAGCATCTTTAAATTTTTATCCCCATTATTTTCCAGGGTCATCTCACATTCTAATAAAATGTACCTCTACTCATCAGACTCTGGTTCTCTTCTCACGCTGGGACTCAGGCATGCCTTACTCCAATGCTCCGATAATTCATCATTTAAACCTACTCATCTGCAAGACTCCCCAGATTCATCAAGTTAGAATTAGCTTTACTGTTAGAGTAATTCTAAAACATACAGGAATTATACCTCTCATACAAATTAGACCATGATCACAACCCTATTACAGTCATGTACGTCTTTCCAGTAGATGGTCTCATGCACCAGTCTCATCAAACAAAATACACTTCACAAAAGTGTGTTAATTTAAATGAAACTGAATATAAAAAGCATGCTGTTTTTTTCCAGCTGTATTACTCAAGGGCATCTAGAGTCCACAAAAATTATAGTGTCTTTGTTAACTGGCCATATGGTACACAATCTCAGTTTCGATGAGACTCTCCAGTGAAGAAAGTTAAAGTCTAATGATCCCTAGAGACCAATTAAATTGAGCTTTATCTCCAAATCACAGAATGCATATCCAGGTGCAAAACAGCATCACCCTCTAAAAATCTTCAATATGGTCATGGTCCAGATAGTGTCAGGATACAATTTATTCCCTTGGCATTAAACGCCTTTTAGAATCTGAACCCCAACTTCTTATCCAGCATTCATTCTTGTACCTAACAACCATCTATTCTACACAATTAGACTGGTTAGCTCATGGACTTAAAAATTTATACCATCTCTCTAACTCTTGGCTTATGTCATTCTTGACATTCCACTTCTTCCCTTCTTCCTCCTGAGAGCAAACTTACTGATAGTCAGATTGAGAACATTGAGAAAAAGAACTGGGCAGGTGCAGTGCATCCCTAACTCAACTATTTTTGGAATCTGCCTGCAAAGATCACATCCTCTGTATCACAAGGCTGTGGTGTTATGGAGACAGGCTTCCATATGAGAGCTTTTGATTCACAGTTTCTGCCTGAGACTGGATGGATGAGTTCAATTCTGGGGAACAGTATTACCAAGAACACCTCCTCCTTCTTGCTTTTAAAAGCAATAAAGCTGGCATCTGATCTCCTTTTGTCTCACCCTTTGCTTATCTCTATTGTCTTCACTCTTGGGCAGGAAGAAGAGGAAATTCATTTATGGACCCCTTCAGAGCCCAACAAACTAGACTGCAAGCTCCCTGAGGGGAAGGACCCTTGTCTTTCCTGCTTTCCTCATGGACTTGAATACAATACAGGGACACAATTATGAAGGAAGAACAAGGACAACAGAATTGGTTCTAAAGCAGTTACCTTGCCTGATATATCTTGCTTCTATGTAAATGCAATGACACCATGTAATTTTTTTCCCCTCAACAAGACCAACTTCAGCAAGATAAAAAAAAAAAAAATCACATGTATCTTGGCACATTCTTCATTTTGATTCATACTCCAGAGCAGAATGTCTCATTGTTCTAAATGACCAAGGAGTTTCAGGAACCTTTTTTTTTTTTAGGAAAAGGAACAGCACAGTGGCAAAATGCACTCTATACCATATCAGCAGAGTCTGAGAAACAGGGATTTCTCAACTAAAGGTCATCTGCAGCGATGTCTACCTCCCTTAATGGGCTCTGACCACAGGAGCATGAATAATCCTCTTACCTCTATAGGCTTACTTGTGCAAACAGGAATGGCCTCCATGCTGGGAACATTCATCCAAACCTTCCCACAGATGCGACTTACTGCACAATAACAAAGGTATAGTTCTGCCTCCTGGTGTGATTAGAGGCATGAAAATGTAAGCTTCTCAAAGCCATTTACACCCTTTAGTCATCTCTACTGGTCTTTACAACTTTGGGAAGAAATCTAGGTCATTTCCCAAGCTGGAATCTTGTTGCTAAGGGAATTATTTCAGCACTGGTCTACTTCCTAGAAAATCAGGTTATTTCTTCCCTGACATTCATGTCTCTCCTTTTCATATACTTCTATTCACCCCGTGCCTTTTTGCAATCCTCCTTCTACCTTGTAAAATAATTGGGATCTTATATATTTCCATCACTGTTAGTAAATGAGCAACCAACTTAGAAACCAGAGTAGGGGATGCTGGAATTTTGACATGAGAAGCTCAGAAAAGACCACCATAAAGCAGAAGTCCATGTGCCCATCTCTCTGTTTTGACAGCCATTCCCATTTCTTAAAGGGGAAAACTCACATGGAAGGAGCTTCTGCAAGCAACCTGCAGCTACCACCCCCAAGAGGCAACTGTGAATGAATGACCTCTGCCAGCACAGTATTTATGGGTCTGATCACAAGTTACTAGTAAAGGTTGGAGATAATGAGACAAGCCTACTTTGCTCAAATCAATCCATCTAGTTGAAATGGTCAGCCAAGTACTTTCACTGAGAAAGATCACATACATTGTTACTAGAAGTATAGACATGCAATATATCATTAGGGTTACTGAAACAATTAGGTTGCTTTCTTAATATAGTCTCTAAATGGAGTCACTTGGTTTCCTAGATAAATTATTCTTTAACTGGTGTGTGTGTAAATATGTATATCTATCTATCTATAAACTCAATTAAGGTGATCATATTTTAAAAAAAAGAAAATTTCAATGTTAAGTCAAGGCCGGTTCTTTCCCACACATAGGTGTTGGCATCTGGTGGCATTTTAGAGGAACCTTCACTCCTACCACTGATATTTGCTTCTTCTCTTATAAAGTTGCTCATAAAACATGATTTTCCAAATAATTGAAAGCATATAAATAGTACTAATCCCTCCACCTAGACTTCATAGAAAGAAGCACAGATTTGAAAAGGGTACTTGAGAGCACTGACATCAAATACCTTCACTTCTGGCCTGCAATCATGTTATGTTTAAGACATCGATTCTAGCTACCATTTGTTGAAGGCTTATTGAGTCAACTACCACACAAGGTGCTTTACAAACATTATCCTTCTTTCTCATAATAATTTTATTAGATAGATGTTTTATCCCCATTTTATAGGTGAGGGAATTGAGGCACAGAGAAGTTAAGTCCCTTGCCCCAAATCACCACAACTGCTAAGTGCACAGCTGATATCTGAGCTCAGGACTTTATGACTCCAACGCTTGCATTCATATTGTTAGAACTCATGAAAAAGAGAGGCAGATTCAAGTGCAGGATAATGTTGGCTACATACCTCATACAATTCAATAATGATGTTTCCCACCAGACCTCGGCTGCTCTTAATGTTCTCCATGGCCAGGGTGAAGTAGATCCCACGTGTGTCTGAGATGTAGAGGTTGTACGTGTCATTCTGGTTCCATTCCTGGACCGCTGCAAACACTTGGTTCTCATTGGTACTAATGATGTGCATGTCCTGTAAGAAGATGGAAAGCCCATAAGGCAGCAGATCTCCATATCTCCTTGCCCACTGGGACCCAGAGTAATTACCATGACTTATGAAATGGCTGAGGAAAAGCTTGAGTTATAGGCAATGTTAAACAATTCTGTGTTGGGCCAAGGCTATAAAGTATGAGCTTCATGATTTCTGCTCCTTGCTAAGTGACAGTAAGATGGGTGTAAGGGGCTTTGGTGGGTATCATTTTCCATGGCTTCAAGGGATTTATCCACTTACATTTTTTATTTTTATAACTGAAAGTTGGTGTTAGTGCTAACAGAGACATACAACCTTGTATGAGGAAACCCACACATGAAAAAAAAGACAGGGCCTCTCCCTTTACTCGATCTTAATTTATGGTTTCAACATTTTTAGGATAGTGGTTTTCATGCCTTTCTTGGGAATCTTCATATGGGGATTGAAAGAAGGGTGGCCCAGAGGCACAGCCAACGGGTGGGGCTATGGGTTTCCAAATCTTTCAAACATACCAGCACTACTTAGATTTGTTATATCATGGATTTCTGTGTAATATTTTAGGAGTAAAAGATTGAAGGGCGAGGGTGGGGGGGGGGTTCTACTGCTAATAGAATAATAATTGAAATCCATGGATTATAGAGGAAAGGATATTTAACCTTGAATTCAGGGTTCTGGGTCATAGCAGCGTTCTACTATAAGTCAGCTGTATGATACTGGGTGTGTCAGCTTCCTTGAGCTTCCATTTTCTCACTGAACAGAGTGAAGAGGTTAAGCTACCAATAAAGACAGCTAACAATTGGGCATACTCTAAGTCATCTAAATGCATTATTTCAATTAAAAAAAATCCAAATAATTCTACAGTGGAGGTAGCATGATTATTTCCATTTTACTAAGAAATAAAATATGGCACACAGAGGTTTACCAAGCAAGATTTACTTGCTTCAGATTATATAACTCATAAGTAGTCAAACCATGGTTTGAAGCACTGTGACACGACTCTAACCTAATTGTTAGCTTCTAACTAGTTGTATGAAAGTGAAAGTGAAAGTGAAGTCGCTTGGAGTGTCTGACTCTTTGCAACCCCATGGGCTGTAGCCTACCAGGCCCCTCCCTCCATGGGATTCTCCAGGCAAGAATAATGGAGTGGGTTGCCATTTCCTTCTCCAGGGGATCTTCCTGACTCAGGGATCAAACCCAGGTCTCCTGCATTGCAGGCAGACCCTCTAAACCAGAGGTTACAAATGAATGACCCATGAAATGAATATGAATCACAATTGTTTGGTTTGACTATTATTGCTGTTGTTGTTCAAACACTAAGTCCTATCTGACTTTTTCACAACCCCATGGATTGAAGCCAGCCAGGCTCCTCTGTCCATGGGATTTCACAGACAAAAATATGGAGTGGGCTGCCATTTCCTTCACCAGGAGATCTTCCTGACCCAGGGATTGAACCCACATCTGCTGCATCAGCAGGTGGATTCTTTACCTCTAAGCCACCAGAGAAACCCTTGGTTTGGCCAAAGCCTCTACCATATACCTGAAAATGTAATATTTTAGATTGAGTCAGTAATTATTGAAGTCTTAGCCTTGCATACCCAAAGATTCCTATCATCTGCCTTTATATATTAATGTTACCATCTTGATCCTTGAAGCCACTTTAATTTGTATTCCTAATTCTAATTGTATTTAGAAGTGACTGGATCATTTCTAAAATCATTTCTAATAGTTCAGAATTCAAAATAGTTTTCAAAACCCAGTTTGCATATGTGGCTAGGAACTGTACAAATATTATCACAAACTCAAGTCATTACCTAAATAACTTATACTGTCAGGAGGAAATGTTGACCTGGATAAACATTTGACAAAACAAGAGTAAATTTTAAAATGAATAACTATTAACATACAAGTGTATATGCCAAGGAGTAATAGCATGCTGGAAAAGCAAAAGAGAGACATCCTTGTCACTGATGCAGAAAGTACTGGTGACAGGGACACAAGCAAGTGAAGTGACAGTAAGTAAACCAGCAGGGTGGATCTAGCCTTTACCTTATTCGACCAACCTTTCCCAGAAATGGTTTCAACAAAAAAACAGGAGCAGCCATGTCTAGAATATCAGAACCATGGAGAGCTCCTCCCAGCTGATTTTAAAAAGAAGCAAACTCGTTTGATTTGGACAGCTCAGAGGTGGGAAAAGTAAGAAAGTGAGTTCTGGATCTTTTACTGGAGATCCTCTGTGAAATCTCAGCCTCTAGCCTTGGACTTCCGAGGTCACCTTGACTAAGACCTCACTTTCTCTGCTCGTTTGTGTTTACACACCTTGTAGAATTGCAGGTTCCTGCTGAGGTGCTTGAAAATGGAAATGAGGCTTACTCTTAAAAACCATCTGATGAAGTCATGTTGTGTTGGTGTGGAATGAAAACCCAGGAACCCAGTAGGAGGGGAAATAGCAGCTGCAGGAAATTCGGATTAAATTCACTTACCCTGTTAAAAATGTAATAGAAATGCTTGGCTTTCCCCAGATGTTTTGGTCATAAAAATGAATGAGCTAAGTTATTTTAGACTAAACTAATGTAAAAGAAGTGGGGGTGGGGGTGGGAAAAAAGCAACTTAAAACACTGGGGCATGGTCAGGATTAGAAGCGGCCAGATTTGCTGTGAGTGCATCTTAGTTTAGACCTACACTGGGACTGTGTCACCTGGTGAGCAGGAATTCCAGGCTCTAGGATGAGAGTCTACTCTCTAGTATATAGAGTTAAGGGATTTCTTGAGAATTCCTTAGCTAATCAAAGTCACTTAGCTAATAAATTATGTTACTAAGATTTGAGCCTAAGACTACCTAGAGAAGTTAAACTCCTTACCAATGGGTGTATAATGCAGTGTGCATCAGTATGACCTGCAGCTCCTGATAGCATGCAGACTCATGGGATCCAATGCCTGAGATTCCGATTCAGTGTATCTGGTGTGGAACCTTGGGTTCTACCACCTGAACAACCCTCCAGGTGATGCTAGTGCATGCAATCTGAGGTGTTAATTTTTGAAAAACTAAACTCTGAATGATGTGTCATCTCTCCTAACAAGTCTTAGAGTTGAACAGGGGTCAACCAAGAATTAGAATATTAAGTCTCCCAGAAAAACAACAACAAAAAAGCACTGTTACTTAAAATTGGTCCAATAAGAATCTGAATGACAATAAAACTTATTTCTTTCATCTTGCTACTCCAATCTAATTTCAAAGCATGTGTCACTTTCTTATTTAAATGATTATAAATAACACTCCCCCTACACCTTCCCAATACAGTCACTAGGAAAAATCATAGCTGTTTTTTGAAAAATCTAAACTTACAACTTCCTAGGTGAATAATAATAAAGATACCTCTGTGTTATTGAAACATTTTCTTTAGCCTGGGCCCAATATAACTTCATTCTTGTGCCAAACACCATATATAAATACAGAGAGGAACAAAAAATAGGACCTGACTTCAAGAAGATGCCCACTTGGTGGTAGAGACATCACAAACTTGTGTAGCCTTTTGTAAACTTGACTAAGGACTACAATAGACATCCTGAAAATGGTGAAAGGAGTGCAAAGACTTAGAGGTGAGAGAGAGGATGGGGCATTCAAGGGAATGTATGGAACCTAGAAGAGCCTGAAGGCAATTTTCCGCTGAGGATGATGAAGATAGAGAGTGGTCACATTACAAGGGGTTCTGATTGGTACAATGAAGTTCTACCCTGAAGAAGGTACAAAGTTGACACAAGATTTGAAGCAGAAGGAGAGGATTAGAGTTGGTTAATGCATAGATTTTGCTTAAGATGATCAAGTTCTCTACATGATAATATTCAGTGTGGAAGCACTGTAAAGATTTAAGTGGACTTAAATGGGGTGATGCTAGAGGCAAGGAGAAGGCTTAAAAGGTCATGGCAACCATCTAGGCAGGAGCGCACAAGGGCTGAACTGAGGAAGTAGATTCTCTATAAAAACCCTATGGAATGAACTGATGAGGTAGTAAGGAGGTGGCATCTACAGGGGCTAAGGCAGAAGGCCATATCTTTAATATCTCAGATATCTGAATTACAAAATTTTCTATTTTTTCTTAGAGTACTCATTACAATCAAGATTGATAATCACTTCTATAATTATTTGTGTGATGTCTGCCTCTCTCATTAGACTCTAAGCTCCCAGAGAGCAGAAGCTATGTCTCCCTTATTTATTAGTTTATTCTTAGCACTTACCAGAGTATCTAGCATGTGGTATACATCCAACAAAAGCTTCCTGGGTAAATAAATGGAGTAAATAAGTAAACATGTGAGAAGGAGGAGATAGAAGGGACCAAAGGGAGAGACTCTGAGCTCAGTTGTTGAATGGGACCACTAAGGGGGTGCACCTCTAACAGGCAGTTAACAATGCAGCTCGGAATCTAACGCACAGATAAGCATAGGAGCTGCAGATACAGAACTCGCTGGTATGAAGAGAAGGAATGAGGTCGCTCAGGAACCATGAGGATGCAAGGAGAACTCAGGAACATCAACATTTTAAGGATAGCAAGGGAAGGGGGTCCAGGAAAGGAAATCAGGGGGAAAAAAAAAAAACCACTGCCAAAGGGAATCTACACACCAAGTATTAATTTTTCTCCCACCAGTGTCAGATGCTCCAGAGAGCTTTAAAAAAAGAAAAAAAGATAAAGATATGGAGATGTCTGGTTGGATTTGGCATGTAGGCAGTAACAATGGCTAACAAATTTTTAGTGGAATAGTGGAGAGATGGATGTGGGAGAACTTGAACTAGCAGCAAGTTCAAGAATGAATGAAAGTGAGAAAAGAGGTTAGAACTTCAGATGATTCTTTAGGAAATAAGGCTGTGACACAGCAAGGAAGTCTAAATCAGCATTTGGGGAAATGCAAAGATTACGGAAAACAATCCTAAGGAAATTGAGGAAACAGTTAATATCACTATCATTATAATAAACTATCTGAAACTTATTTCCCCCCTCCTCTTTCATTATT